AAAAAAAAAAGCCAAAGTGATCATAATCTTAGGGAAATACACATTTAGCAAGTAAATAATAGGGGTTTCTGAAAGTCTCAAACAATTAACACAAACCCAAACCCTCTGGTGCTCATTCTCAGGAGAGACATTTGAGACAGATGCACCCAAGAGAATGCAACTGATGAAAAGGAAAATATTCCAATCTCCTGGCTAAACAATGTGCTTTGTGTAGATTTATATGAAGTATTTTTAACAGAAAATTAAAATGAATTGATAATTGTTGCACAATGCTCAGATACCAAGGTGATAAGAACATTTTAAACCATCATACCAAACTCCAGAAAATTCAAAGTTAATACTGGTGGACCACATTTAGCAGACCTATTATCCTCATTAGTATTAACAGCAATGTCTAATAGCCATTCTGCGTCTCTGGAAATACTTTCAGAAGTAGCATTGTGAACCTTAACTCAAAGGCAATGTTCATATGAGCCAGATCATTTTATGACTTTAAAGATGAAGTGCTATACACTGCTGTGCTTTTGTTCTAAAGATCCCAAAGAATTAAAATCAAAGAAGATTTTCTAGGTTTTTAACCTTTTCTCCCCTTTTCCTTGTTCTGTTAATATTTTCTACCAAGATCCGAACTCATCTTTCCCAGCACTACATTTACGCATGTTCCTGAGTCACAAACCTACTATCAACTCCAGCCACCTCCAAAGTGAAGGGTGACAAGAAGGGACTACAGTTCACACTAGGAAGTGAAGCACATCTTATTTCATGGAGGCTACATGGCAATGCTACAACATGACCACATTTTTATCCAGCAGCCTGAACGAATGTAGTGTCAGCAGTAACTACAGCAAACCCTCTCCTACAGGCTTTTCTCACATCTTGCTCCACTACACATAGAACAAACAAACTAAAATTTGTATTATTAATTGTTCAGAAAATAAAGGCAACCACACCTTAAGATCTTTAATGTCTTTTCCAAACCAAAGGGATTCAGTTGGATCCAACTGGTGCAGTTTTCCCTTCTGAAAAGGCTGCAATAGAAGACTCTTCCCTTGCCTGTGCAATCAGCAGGCACAGGTGACTGGGCTGACTGGTGCCTTTGAGGTCATCCTCAGCCCACAGATGCTTCCAGCAGCACCTCTCTCAAGTTATAGCTGCCAGATGCAGCCCAGAATCTGGATTACAGACCTTCAATGCAATTATAAATTATTTTTTAACTTAACCATTTGCTACACTCACTGCACTAGGTCACATCTCACTAGCTGCCTTGAAATTTGCTCACCAGTTTCCAGCCAGCCCTGTGCCAGGCTGGTGGAGAGCTGGAAGAGCCCCAAGCCTTGGCTTCACCTCCTTCAGTGCTGCTACACAGCAGACTGGAGAAAGCATTTTGGAGCATGACACCCACATTTCATCAGAGCCCCACTCCCTAAGAATATGTAGATGATACATATGATTATATTAAAAAACAATTACAGATACTTATTTATTTCCTGGAAGCCAGAACACAACTGTATTTTCAAATAGTAAAATCTTCAAGGAAACAACTATCCACCCAAATTTAACTTCAAATGCAGACTCTGCTCTCACAGAAGTCTGTAGGGAAGTTTGGCACTTGTTTCTCCAACAATAAGATCAGACTGCCTGCTTGGATCTCCCAAGTCCCAGAACTCTACATTATGTCATTATTTTATTTTTCAGAAGACTGAGAAATGTGCTAGGCACCTCCCCATATAAATAAAAGGCCATAATCTCAAAAAAAAAAAAAACATGGGAGGCTTATCCTGCTTCCACACTGCCTTTTAGGTAGTTTAGGAACTAAGCAGGTGTCTCATATCAAACTTGTGCATGAAGTCAAAATACCCTACTCTCCCTAGTTCTTATATTTATGTTTTCTTGCAGACATGTTGTCAGTTCCATTTTGAAGCATCTTCCCTTGCAGTAGAACAAGATTTTATATATTTACACATGCAAATAAGACTCTGCAGGATGTGATAGGTTATCTCTAGTTTTAGGTATTTTTTCTTGAACTGTTTGCTAAGAAGTTATAGGTACAACACATAATGTGGCAGGTATTAATGGACTGGAACTATATTATTGCAGTGAATGGCAGAGTAAAAAGGTATATAAAACATGAATAAATGTTGGGGCATTTGTCAGTACTTCTCTAACACTACAGAAAATTCAATATTTTTCTTCCACAATTTTCTAACATAATTTTCAATCTGCTATGAATATGTGGGTATAAACTGTGTACATACACAATTTAATACATTACACCTACAGCAGCCAAACAGTCTGTGCAAAGTACTGCCATGTCCTGAAACAAAAACCAGATTGGTTTGTAGCTGAAAAATACTGAATGCAGGCTTTAAAATGGCAGGCAGATTTTAAACAAAGACAATAACTACACAGATAGTAGCCATGTATAAAAGCACTGCTGGCATGACAGCTTAACATGCCAGAGCATTAAATATCCCTGTTAGATAAATATCATCTTCCTACCAGAAATGAGGAGAGGAACATTTTGTTCCTCTTGAGGAACTGCAGAGTCTTACCATGGCCCAGCCTCAGCTCTGGAGTGAAAACCTCTGCCACTGCTTTGGGTGTGAGGGTTGGTTTTTGGAGCTCCTGGAAGAGCCAGGGGACACCCTCACCAGGGGCCAACCTTGCAGCAGGCATACTTGACCTCTTCCCATGCAAGAAGATGGCAGGCTGTACAAACCCAGCTATTTTGGAATGTTTGAGGCTGACTGATGTTCTTGGATTGCTCTGATTCATCCCAGCTGTGAGATGTTCACCACGGTGGTGATTTATTCTGATAACTGAACCCTGCTAGAAATATCAGAAGAGGCTTTCTCATTATACTTACCTGCTTTAACAACAGCTGAAGTTCTTAAGTTCTTCGTTCTTCTGAATCAATTTTTTTTCTTTTTTTTTTTTTTTCTTTTCTGTATTTCACCCAATGCTGTGCTGGGAATTGGTTGAATCATATCCTTAACAAAAAAAAAATATATATATTAGGTTGGTTATACAAAAATATCTAAAGGAAAAATGAAACATTTTCAGAGTCATCATTAAAATACTCCTTTTTTTTCTTTCTTTTCAATATTGGCAATCTAACACATGGTCCCTGTCAAGCAATACAAGAAGAAAATTCAGAAAATTCATAGTTTTCAATCTTTGAAGCACATTTGCATACAAAGTGTATCTTTAAGGGAAAATAACTTGGCAGTGTCAGTGGCTGACACAATAGAAGCTTTATCACACTTTTTCTTCATATCTAAAAACATTGACAAACTCTTTAGAATTTAACAGCATTTAAAATTTATGAAATAAAGGCAAAGTTTTAAATGCTTGGGATACCTGGTCCCCTTTTGTTGGGATACTGTATATATTTTCCCTTCATTTCATAATTTTTTTTACTTGAGATAAATGAAAATATGTCATGAGGACTGAGACTCCTGCAAGTACTGGAGCATAAGGTACATATTTCTCTCAGAAGTTAGAGTCATTGTTTGTTAAGCACATGTTTCTGGAACCACAAACACCCCTCCAGTTTTCCTTCTCCAGTGAAAACAGTGATTTTGTGACCAGCAAGACTGCACTGAGAACTCCAAAACACTGATAGGCTTTTGAACTCATATTTAAAAGAAAAAAGAAACCCAAACCCACAGCTAAGCCTTTAATTTCTGTACAAAGAGGAGCTGTCCCCAGGAAGACACAATACCTTTTACAGTCAACAATGATAATATGTATACAATCATAAGTATTAAACTAAAAAAAACAGATTTTCATTTCTAAGTTTCAAATACCATACTTGATTATTAATGTTATCATTCTTCTTCTATAAGGAAAACAGTTAAATCCTCTCAGTTATTTTTCACTCTGTTAAAGATAAATCAGAAATCAACATCTTGTACTTAATTTTTGCTTTGAGAACACTACTAAGGAATTAATTTCTCTTTATTCTTATTTATCATTTTGAAATAAAGGCTTGGATGATACCTATCCTATTAAATAGAATCAATAATAAAAAGAAATATTTTAAAAAATATACATTAGACATGTTATATCTGTTTAAAATTATGATAACAAACAATGTAGGAGCTAGAATTACTGGGGATTTTCAGCTTTTGTTAAAAGACAAAAAAAAAACCAACAAAAAAACTCCCCAAACAAAAAAAACTATTCTAAGTTTCTCTAATGAATATTTTTGCAAAACTATGAATTCTCCTCTAATTTAAACTTGATTTTTTTTAATCTTGAGGAAAAAATTATTTACCAAGTCCTACTTGTTCATAGTGCTTTTCTGATTTTAGTCAGTATATTGGAGTTTTATGTACTACACAGGCAGATCAATAAACTTGATGGGCCAAATTTGGATTAACAAAACCAAATACAACTCTGCTAAAATGAAATGGATTGTCCCTGCTTACTTCAATGATAAAATTGGCTTTTTATGTTGCATTTAAGAAAAGACAAAATGGAAAAGCTAACAAAGATTTAAATTTGCCATGCTTCATACACTCTTTATCTTAAAAGATCTACTTTTGGTTTTTAATTGTAGCAGTGTTCTGTAAAGAAACACGACCTTACAGGGCATTTGCAGGAATGGAACAGTCTATATATTAAAAGGCAGCAAATGATTCATAACTGCTTAGCGGTCAGGCCTGTGGGGCCATGCTTCCCATGTGAAATTTTTTTCTGCATTGCAAACTCTTACATTAAATTGTGATAAATGAAGAGCGGAGGCTATTCATACAAATCAATGACTTTAGTGTATGTGTCATTAGCCTGAGAGATGCAGGCAGCGGTCACTACTATAAATCATGTGATGATCTGCTGTCTGCGACTCGATGCAAGCAAGCAGATGCATTAGGAAGGTTAAAGAATGAAATTAATCTGTGCATTTCCCTTTCTTTCTTTTTTTTTCCCCTTTAGTCACCTGGTCATACAGAAAGAATTAAAATCACATGACCCAAAGTTAAACTAGCTACAGAACAGTAAGTTGGCTAAGCTAGATGTCACCTTTCAACTTAAAGTTAATTAAATATTAATGGGATTAATTTATTCATCATCACATGAAAAGTAAAATATATAGAATAGGTAAAATCCACCAGTGCTTCTCACACAGGAGTTGATATTATTAATTGCTTTTAATGCAGACTGTGGCACAAGACCACGTGTAAGAGATCAAGCACGCTGCAAAATGTGCTCTGATACTTTTAAGTGCAGCATATTTCTTTCTTCACATTTTATAAATCCAGTGTTTAGTAACCCATGGCCATGCTCTTCATACCAGTAACTTGGAGTGGGTTATGAATATGAGTCAGGTTGAATGTATTACTGATGATGGAATACATTCCCAGATATCTGTGGCTGGGAGTGTTAATGGTGAAAGTGTGCAAAAAGGGTCAGGGACAGTATAAAAGAGATATGGACAATATAATTTTAAAACTGAAATTAATGAATTTGGGAAGGCTATATTTGATATAAATGTTAGGCCAAAGCCTTCAGTCTTTACTCAATACTTATTCAGGCAAAACACCCACCGACTTCAGTGACAGATTTCCTGGGATGAGGACTAAATATGCCCCAGGAGTCAGATTGCCCCTTTCTTTTTTACAGAAGCAGAAATTGGGAAGATCATGCAGGAATCTCAGCCCCTCCTGCATCTGTGTGGACCCTGTGGGGGATTGTACAGGTCTCCTTCTCCTGGCCCCACCACTTCCCCTGTGCAGGCTAACACCACTTAGCAAGGAACAAGTCAGAGCAGAGGCTCTGAGCCAGAGTCAGGACTAAACACTCAACACGCTTCTGTGCAGGGCTGCAGGGCTCCCAAAATGCAGCAGTGCTTGGGAAGGACTCCAGGATTTGGCCTCTTAGAACCTGTGATGCCTTAGGATTTTAGCTTATGTTTTTCAAATCCTCTACTGCTTTAGGGTATAACTCTAAACTCCATATCGAGTGTTAGTTTCTGTCTTCACATTTTGGTCAGACAAAACAATCCCCATAGGCCTGAAGCTCAAGGACAACCTACAGCCTCAGACCCCCAAAAAAACCTATAAACAAAAATGAATTGTGGGAGGAGCAAACTGGGGGAATATGACTTCATTACCTGAAGCTGTAATTGGAGGATTAACCCCTGATATGTAAATAGACCAAATTTATAATTGTCTGAAAAACTGGTGACCAGCATCCTTTTTGGATGTAGCCCCTTGGGCAGGCTTCATCTGCCCTTAATGTACCTGAAGGCCCTCCATTAAATATATCCACTTCTATTCTCTTAATTCTGTCTGGCCTCTGTTCTTAGGTAAGCCTGAAAAAGGCATCACCTGTCCAGTCTGTAATAGGGAATCCTGAAAAGGGTTTGAGGACTCTGCTTTGAGCCAGAAGTTGACTCTGGGTGCAATCAAGCATGAAAGCAAATTAATGACAGAAGGGGCTGCATTTCAAAGGTGCTTGAAGCAGTCCATGGGCATAAAACAGAGCAGAACACCTTTGTGCTTATGAAGGGCACTATAAATCAATAAAGTATAAGTTAGCCTGGACAGTGATAAGATAAGTATTGCATGTGCTTAATTCACTTAGCTATCCTTCTGAAAAAGATAATACATTCAATGTAGACATATTTCAATTGAATTGATAGTAGATCTGGATTGAGCAAGCCTAGACACTGAATTACCTTTATCCATCCCAGCAAGAATAAGGATGAACTTGCAAGCAAAATCAATGTCAGAAAGGTCTTACTGACTCTTACAACAGCAAACCCACTATCACTTATATTAAGATATACAAAAAATTTTAATAACTATTACAAATGGACATCCATCCTACCAGCATGAAAACTTACAGCAGGTTAAGAACTAATGACATCAATTTAGATTACTAAATTCTTCAAACACAAGGAATAAAAGCACAAAAATGGTTTTATATAATTGCTCAAAAACTACAAAAAATATTATTTAACTAAAGTTGCCAAATAAAGGCGGAAAGAATTGCAGGCAGTGAATTTCAAATGCCTCTGAGTTGATTTCCCCAGTAAAGCCAGTTTCTTGAGTATTGTTCCACTGTCACTTAATTACCATGTTGACTTCATATGTATTTATTTATATTTGATAGCACTAAGTTTAGCACATGCGCATATTTTAATCATACACATATTTTATTTTTCCCACCAGCACTTGGTTCTCCAGTTGATCCCATCTAGTCATTAAAACTGTTATTTTATATCTAGAGCAGTGATTGAAGTCTAATGCAAATAACACACAGAAATTTTGCTCTGGGATCATTTAAATATCCTACACTCTGTATTGTTGCAGCTCAGCTTCTACCAGGTGCCTAAGCTGGGGCTGATCATACTTTGGAGAGGCTGGCCTATGATGCAGGTTGCAGAACTTCATTAGAAACATTTCCTCCTTTCCCAGTGCAAATTCAGTGATTTGAGGAATTCATATCATATTTGGTGCTGAAGTTCTTCCATAAAGTTCTGCTTCTGCCCATTCCTGAAGCAAGGAAGAGCTATATTTTAAACCCCAATAAAGGGAAACATAATGTATAAATATAAGACATAAATACAAGACATGGCTGCCTATTTTAAAATGCAAGTGAATTTTTCAAATGCTTTTCCTATAATTGCTTTTTAGAAAGCAGAAAAGAGTCCTGAAAAAGTTTGGTAGTAACTTGTAAAAGGCACGCCTTGTGACCATCTGAATATGAGACAAAAAAAATTAAAATATCGTGTGGATGAAAATGCTCCTTCCTTTTGGAGCAAATCCATGCTTCCTTTTCAGTGACTAATTCCTGTTTTTTATATCACACGTCACTTTTGAGTAAATGCCAAAAAAAAGAGGCAAAGGCTCTTTACACTCAGTTGGTAGTTTTATACCCTAGGTTTAAATTGCAGGTCGACAGGAAACCTGGGTTTAATTTTTAAGTGTTACATTAAGAAAATAAAATATTTCTTACAAAATCAGCTACTTTACTGGAATGC